GTGGAATTCACCACACTTAAAATTAGTAAGTAATTCGCGTGGTCAATTTGAAAAGCAATTTTTGCGTGAGAATTCTAAAGAAGCTGCAATATATATAAAAGGCAGTGCAGCCTGAGCATTAGCTCACCGGTCACTCAAAAATACATTCAGATCGACCCAGTTATCACGTTAGTTGACAGCCTTTCACACACTGGCTCTTAACGTGTGACACCGGTCTATCCAACTGGAGTCTGCAGTGCCGGTACTACTTCTTAATGCAGGACAGACATAAGAAAATGTTTATTGACAATTGAATTTTTCGGAAGATAAACTTGTGCTAGTAAATTTTGACATTAGTTGGAGGAGCCAGGACCTGGGCAGCAAATGTTAGAGAGGTGGTAGGACTTACAGGATAGGATTTTTAGGATGTTGCCGATGGAGGTGATGAGAAAGAGGAGTACGACGAGCACATGCGCTACACCTCCAAATCGACGTCTGATGAACTGAGGGAAACTTTTGACACCCGGCGCCTCGGTCCGCATCTCCAGCAGAAAGATCGCGAACATGGCAGAGGCGAAGGCCCTAGCAACGGCGTCAATGATGGGTCCGGCAATCCCATTCTTGATTCACATAAGATAGTCAAAGATGTGAGTCACACCGAGGGTTGGTCATAATCATCAAACACTTGTAAAATTGTATGTATATTCGCATTCTTTGTCTAGCGCAACAGCTTATCTCTTAAAATGCTTAAAAATATGGAAGAAGAGCGGATAATTGATGATTTCTTTCTAGCAGTCATGCGTTGTCAGCTTCTTTTTCGGGTTTTAGTTTTCTTAAGTGTGCCCAAATCTTGCGGTTATAGATAACCTACTGGATAATCTAAATAGCAATCCAAGCATGAATACTCGAACTTCGTAAAATTAACTAAAATAGTTTGGTTGTGCCAGCAACCGAGCAACCGTTTCTTGGTATTTATTTCAATATTTAAATGAACGCCGATTAATTGTTTTCGACTTTTTCTTATCAGCAAATACAGTCGCAAGGGATTGTTACGAGAATTTGCAGTCTTTACGTCCTCTTTCTGAATACAAAGACTGTAAACATCACAACAGATGAGTTCTACAAAGTACTGGAGAAGCATATTAATGTGGTGATGCGAATATGTACTCCCTGCTTTTTCTCTGGGTAAGGACACTGTAATACGTACCTCATCTGGAATTTAACTTAATGTTACCTTACATATGGGAGTATCTATTTCCGATTCCACCCAATGCCGCAAATCCTGCCAAGTCTGTACGATTCAACATGGCTGGTGAGACATTTCTGGGCGAATCCTGCTATTTGGACCCCCTAGCTAATGAAGCACTGCAGGTACCCCTCAGCCTCACTTCAGTAATTAATTATGCCCTCTATTTTTGTGCCTATTCTTAAGGCTACTTTAAAAACCAGGATTCATAAAAGCACATTGCTTGTGAGATATTTTTGAATGCGGCGTTCATCTTCTCATTGGCAGTATCACTTAAATGCAATCTCTCTATTATAAAGTTGAAATTGGCAGAGAAATGTCTTCGCTTCCGCCTGTTGTTTTCCAGGGACATCATCCTCTGAAGTAACGAAAGTGTTTGGAAACTTGCTGGGGTATGAATTGCAAAATGTTTTACTTATATTCAGACAAAACGAACTGCAGACTGCCAACATTACAACTCACGTGGATCGTGAATATTGCAGAGTCCAGAACAATTGACGGCCACGAAATTTGGGAAACCAGATAGGTCACTGCCAGTCCAAGATTATGACGGTTCTCTTTCTCCGTAAAGTCATCCTGTAACAAAGGAAATTCAAGAAATCCTTCATGCATCTACTCTGTTGATCATAATAATTAAAAATGCTCATAATTTATTCATATTTACCAAAATGAATCGTCCCAGCAACATGCTAGAATACCCAAAGTTCTCTAAGTTCACTAACCTGCCCACAATTGTGACGCCGCTTCACGTATTGGAAAACTCGGTCAACCAAAATAGTTGCCAACAAGATGCTGACGAAGATCAGTGTAACTTCACCCGTTGTCGGCAATGGTGGGGGCGGGAATGAACCTGGATACTCCAAACCGATGCATGCAATTTCAATATCGCTCTTTGGCGTACGGTTCAGACTGAGAGGCGGTCCACTCTTATTGACCCAAACGAAGACCAGCGTTTCATTTATCATGGTTTGTTCACTAAACTTGTATGATATGCTTCGAGCTTTTTATATCTGCAAGAAACTATTCATGGAAGAAAGTGCCAATGGTAATGGACGTATGTTTCAACACGAAAGTTGTTGAAAGATGAAAATAAATCACTGCTTATAGAAATACGTTACGCAAGCAGAGAGCATCTTGCGTGTTAAGGCATTATAATTGAGGGAGTAGTACATGCCGCCTAAATGCTAGCGTGTCCCTAAATTACACCTGAAGGGGCCAGAGTTAAAAACAAATGAAAATACACCTACAATTTTCGTTACCCCGGATACGCAACTCGTATTTTTAACAGGCTTTATGAATTGTGCTAACTATACCATTAGCGTGAGTGTAGAGCGTCACAGATTGTTCTATTTTTTCCATACTAATTGGAATTTTATAAGAGTACTAGGAAGCGTAAACAGTGTACCGGGTCTTGAGTTGACAACAACAAAGTTTTCAACAAATTTTTGATTTTTCGAACACTCCGTTTAAATATATGACACAGTAGCCGTTTTCAATCCTTCGCAGAAACAGCGAGTTGTCAGAATTCCTTCCGCGAACATTCTGAGGAGCTAATGTTTCTCGGAGCTAAAGTTGTTTTTGCATCAATTATTGTGATAACAATAAATAGGACGATCAAAATTTGAAATCAATCTTAATTTTTGGAGGATAAATGTATTCCTCTGGGTAAATGGAATTTTGGCTATTTCGTTGACTTCTGGGGGTACCGAGAACAGTTTTTTTTCCGATCACTGGTTCTTATCTAACACTAAGCACAGTTTACATCACAGAAAACTTTAAAATGTGTAAACAGAGATAACAAAGGATTGAAAAATGAGAGGTAGTTTGCTGGCAACTTAGTTTGCTATATAATCCCATTATATTTGTGATGGTCTTCTTGTTCTCCACAACCTTTCCCCTCTCTGCACATTGTTCATATTCACCATAGAAATTGAATTTCGTGTTTAAGTGTATAGTTTACGTTGTTCTTTTGAGCTATTTAGTGGAGCTGATGCCCAGGAAGCCTATGGTAAATAAAACTGTATGCTTAAAAAAACAAAACTTCCTGTTTGCTAGCCGAATGTCAAACCAAGGTGCTTTCAAAAGGGATTACTTATTACGGAAAATAATTAAACTCATCTTAGATATATTAATATTCGAAATTTGTTATGGACGTTCAGATTCATCGGCAAGAAGTGTACGTGTTTGTGTGCATCTAAAATATGACCCAAACGTCTATCCTCCTGAGAAATAATATCTTTAAACTGGCTTATTCAGAAAATGCTGTAGAGAAATCTCTTACTTTAAAGGTTTTAATACACACATTGAACAGAATCTTAATTTATGAAAACAGCTTGAAAACGTGGACAATCTTGATGTTTTCACTAAAAGGAATTTTTTTTCAAAATACACGGAATGGTGTCTTAATGACTTCAGTTGTCGAGCGATCTATGTTGATCTCATGAGGCAACGCCTTTCCAAAAGAATAAAGGAAAACCCCTCGGTATATTGGAGGAAAGGTGAGGTCAGGAGCATAAACAGCGCTATTATTGCCCACATTATTGACTCCGGACATCGTATTGACTGCAACGGAGTCTTACGAGCGATTCGTAAGGTCCCACTAAACTACCCCAAGTCCTTGGCTCATTGTCTGCTAGCAACAGCAGAAGCAACAGCTATCATATGGGCCGTTTATTTACACAACACTTTAAGCTTCTATAATAGGTAGAATTTAGCTTTTGTATTTTCTATTTGAGTATAATTGTGTCGAATTTGATTACCTGAACGTTTGTAATTTCCTAAAATTACTTGATAAACAATCATTATACTCATAGTAGGGCTTTTGGTCACGTAACAACGATATAGTGGCAACAGAATTATTGAGGACTATGATAAACGACACGCCGATCAGGCCAAATGAGGCTAGCTTTTTCAGTCCTGTGACTGAATGAGCGTACTAAGAAACGCAATTTGAACGCATATGCATATCCATAAAAACAGATGTTGTGTCATAGTACATTTTCTTGGTTCGTACCTGTAGGATTTTGTTGGAAAATGTCAACAATTTCTGAAACCTGCGGAGATAATTGTCAGTAAAAATGCAGTGCAGGTACCAAACAAGTGTATAAACTGAAAATGCATGATACTAAGATAGTCCACAGGCAACAATGCATTTGATTATCCTACAGTTACAAAATTAAAGTAAATAAAATCAATAATTATTACTTTTTGAAATTGCTTATATGAAAGAAAATATCAGTTTGCCGGTTGAGGCCCTACTTCTAGTAGCTCTCATTTTTCCAAAATTCTAATGAACAAAGTCGTACATAATCCCCTAAAGGAGACAAAGAAGAAGATACAAGGACATGGACCGTGTTATATTAAGACTGACGTTTCGGACACTCGCTCGCTTCTATCGTCAGAGTAAAGTGGTGATTGTTCCTGTTTGCCGGGACTGTGTTAACCTTGCTCGCCGCACGAACTTTGACCTACTTGTCCGCTGCTGACTGTCCGTGAGATTGACCGCGAGGGGGCTTGTGTGACCTTTATACCCGTTGCAGCTGTCTTAATTGGTGGCAAGTCAACGTCCTTACTGGTCTGTCCCTCGTTCACCAACGGACTAATCACTTGTTGTTGCGTGCGTGAGTTCATGTCAACCTCGTGGGCGCGGCGGTGAGGTAGCCTTCCATGCTGGTCACGTGGTTCCTAGCCGAGCCCTCTCCTATTTTCTTCCGATCTCAGTTGCATTCCACGCTTGGGTCTGGTTCGCCGTCCTGTTAGCCTTGTTCGAACTGGCTCGAGCCGCTTGTGTACCGCCTTGTAAGTAGGATGAAAGTCTATGGCTCTGTCAAAAGTATTAGTCGAGAGAAACTTTCCAGCAGGAGTCTAGCTATCTTGGCATTGCCTCCGTCTATTACCCTTGATCTGTCGAACGCGACTATGTAGTTCTTCTGCTGAACGTGTTCATAGAGCATAGACAGCTTATCCTTGCGGTTGCTTGCGAGCCAATGCTCATGCAGTCTGGTGCCAAGGCGTTTGCCCCTTTCATCAGCATAGCTTGCATCGCAGTCCTGACATGGTATGCTGTTGACCACTGCTGACTTTTCTGTTGATGGTACCTGGTCTTTTGGTCTCATGCTATGCTGTCTGACTGGTGATTCCGGCTTGTGATCCACACCGATTCCGAATGGTTTCAGGATGTTTGCAGTTCTTCACATAAGGGATTGCGAGCCAAAACTTGGGGCCTTCTCCTTCCGATCGGTCATGGTGCAGCTTCTTAAGGCACTTGCGTATGAAGGACTTGGGATAACCTTTGGCTTCAAAGAGGACATGCAAGCATTTTACATCCTCTTCTTGTCACTTTCGTCGCTGCAGTGTGTCTAAAAGTGTTTGAAGAAGGTTCTAACACAACTGCACTTGTGCCCAACAGGGTGGTTGCTTCTGAAGTTGAGGATGTGCAAGGTGTTTGTTGCCTTACGATAAACAGTCGTCCTTATCTTCTCATCTTCCGGTTTCTTCACCTGTACGTCGACGAAAAGTAAGTGATTGCTGACCTCGTCTTTCATAATGAACTGGACATCAATAAAGACGGAATTCAGCAGTGCCTTGGACTCCTGTGCGACGAAAGTGTCATCGACGTATCTGCCCCAAAACTTCTGGGAGATGAGCTGAAGACCAGCCACTCGAGCCTCTGCAAAACAACTAGAGAAATAAGGCCAGATTAGGGCGAGTCCATCGGTGTCTCCTTTTTTGTTCGTAAACTTGGCCATTGCATGTGAATAATGCTTTTAGACACAGTTTTAGGAGCTCAATGATATGCGCTTGCTAGGTCATCAGATGATGGAAGTTTGTACGCTTTATAAACGTTTGGATAATATAATGACGCTTCCCGAGATCGGTTTATCTTCTTATATATATGTTCACTCAGGAATGTCCTAACATCGATCCAATAGGCTTCCGAACCA